TATTAAAAGGCTATATTTAAAAACAATCGACAAGCATGCTTGAAGTACACCTTAGTTTACTATAATGAGCTTGTAAGTATTCTTCCAGTACAACTTAATTTACTAAAACAAATTTAGTAATTTATTTATTTTATAATAAATTATAAAATAGAGGTTTTTCGCCCGCAACTTTGTTATATGATTTTTGTGAGACAAAGACGAAAATAAGCCTATGTGCTTCTCCCTGCCAAATAGTAAGTGTTTACTAAATTTTATGACGATTAGTGGATCCGTTAAAGAGTCGAATGGTTACAAACTTACTTTCAAGTTTATAGTTTTAGGTGTACAGCGAGACTTTACCTATGAGTATTAGTAAATGTATCCCATATGTTCACTTAAAATATAAGCTATTCGTGTACTAAATTTCATTCAAATCTGTTCAGTAGTTTTACGTTAAAGAACAACAAATACCCATCCAAACATCCTCAAAAACTTCCGCGTTTATAACAGTAGTGGAATTAGATTATATGGCTATCTAAATAACTTTCTGAAGAACATTATCTCACAGTATTATCGAAATAGATGAGAACCTGGTAAGTTTCTCAGGTAAAATACCTCGCTTCAAGGTTTGTATTAATTATACAATCTCTAAATTTCTAACCAAAGAGAATATCCAAGCGGCATTGTAAAGTATAATTAATTTTACACGCCAGTCATCTCTTCAAGTTGTAGATATATCTCCTTTGCTAGGCGTTAATTCTATTAATTTTGTTAGTAAAATATATATCATCACCATATCAGCCCTTGACTGTTCCCTGCTGAAGATAAGCCTCCCCTTGGGGGGGTACTGCCAGTAGTTGCCACGCTTGGCAGGTGGATTGTGAACCGCAGTCAAGCTTTACAGATGTTTTAAGAGGTACGCTGCTGCTCATCCCTAGCCGTCCCTTAGTCGATTTTTACAACACCCACGGGAAAGGAAGGGGTGGACTATTCTATATTAGGACCACACGGCCATAACACATTAGTCCTTAGAAATGGTAACGCATAGGAGAAACAGTATACTCTGTTATATCCATGGTACTATTCATGTCTATAAGTGACGGTTACCACTTTCCATCAGGTGAGGCGTCAGCTTGTTTGCCATATATAAATATCTACATGTTTTACTAATAGAATATACTCAAATGTAACTTTGCTAGATAAAATATTATTGACATAGAATGAAATAAAAATTTAATTAACATTTATTATTACTGTTCACACAGCGACAAATTATAAGAACTATTGAGGTCAGAAGGGAAAAAATGTTAGGACACTTGATACGACACGAACTTATGAACATTATAATAGAAGGTAAGATAGAAGGAAGAAGGGGAAGAGGAAGACCAAGGCATTGTTACATCAGGTAGATCAAGGAAGTAGTTGGTGTCGTGTCGTATCAAGAGGTAAAGAGATTCGCTGAAAATCGTAGTGAGTGGCAAGAGCTCCATTGACAAAAGCGCAGCTTTTAAATAGGATAGATAGATAGATTGTTCATACTATACAATTGGCCCCGTGGTCTCAGTATCGACCACCCCTCATATTACTGTAGTTGTCGTAAAAGGCGACTAAGGGAACTTAATAGTCGAGGGATGGGCAGCAACATTCGTCTTAAACATCGTCAAAGCCTAACTGCAGTTACCAACTCGCCTACCAAGCATAGCAACTACTGGCAAAATTTTTATTACGGACAGACCTATGTTTAACAGTGCACAGTTAACGGCTGATGATGATGATATTAATTATATTAATGCATTTTTTTTGAACCTACAATAAATTGCAAATTATTTCAAAGGAGCATCTTTTGTAGTTTTGTCTCCATACAATTTGCTAAAGAGAGCTACTTGACGATCCTGAGTTATTGCCTCATACGTGGCGTATCTTGAATTGTTTGTACGTGACTCCAGGCTACTTTGTGTACAGAGATTTTTTTGACCTTGGATCCTTTTTCAAATATGTATGAAGGACATATATCACAGTAAAAAAAAACGATAAAAATACTTTTACTCTAATTTAATAAAAATATCGAACAGAATTAGTGATATTTTATAAATATTAAATAATAGGATGAAATCAAAACCATTAGTGGTACATAAACTACTAAACTAATATAATTAGGACTGATGTTTTGTAGTACAACTATTGAAAAACTACTTTTTTCCCTGGTTAACCATAAATCCAGTCACGAGAACGAAGTCTAGGGAATAATAATAAAAAATAAATAAATAATTTTAATACTTCAATTTTTTTTTATACAACTTAGAATGGCAAACAAGCTGACGGCCCACCTGATGGAAAGTGGTAACCGTCACCTATAGACATGAGCAGTACCATGGACATAACAGAGTATACTGTTTCGCCCATGATACCCCCATGCGCTGCCATTCCTGAGGACTCAGGTGTTATTCCTCTGTGCCCTGTAAATTCACGCCATATCCCACCCTTCAAACCGAAACACAGCCATGAAAAAACACAACAGCTTCACGGTAGAAACATGACAGAGGTACTCAAGCAATCGACTTTTGTACAAAGTAAACTAAAATACTTATTTACGTTAATTGTAGATATTTCCCAAACTACGAATTATGTAAAATATGTACTAGAGTGATATCTTTGAGGAGTAATGAATGAATAAATTATTCGGAATTACTTAAGTTTACATTAGTCGTTACCTATTAAAATATCTGTATCTCTAAAAAAATCTACATAATTTTGACTTACTGTATACTGCGGCACCGTCTACATTAAACAGTACATAATGTGTATTAAGTATAACCAACTAGTGTACCAAATTTTATTTAAATTAATTCAGCAGTTTTTTTCGTGAAAGACTAACAAACACCCAGTTACACATCCATCGATAGTTACAAACTTTCACGTTTATTATACTAACATAGTTGCTTGTGTAACTTTTAAACTGTTCAACGCATTTTAGTAAGGCTGGTATTTTGGCATGTGTGAAAGTACTGCATTAATATTCTTTAAGGTTTAAAATAGAACGGCTTGTAAAATTTATTTTTTTTCTAACATAAAACCCTTTTTTTGCTGAGATATTAAAATTAGATATATGGTATTACAAATTTTTCTGTAAAGCAAAAATAATTAATATTTTTCCTTCTCTTTTTTCCCCATTCCACATTTTTTAACACAGTTCAGGCAGCGCATACCATATTACAGAATTTTTGCCGGCTTCAATTATAATTTATTGTGATTATTAAAAATATATATTTATCAAAATAAAAACTAGTCTATAGTATTTAGATATAACATACCTTTCTAACCGTGAAAGAATTTTTAAAATCGGATCAGTGGTACTGTAAATCCAAATTCTCAAATTTTACATCTTACATTTTACTAAAAATTATTTTAATTTGGTTTATTATCTATTAAAATACCTACTTAAGTGCCTCCTACCAAATTGTTTATAATTACTCCTCTCCATCCAAAGGTTGCCTGGAAGAGATCGCTCTTAGCGATAAGGTCGCCCATTGTTTTCTCATTGTGATTATTTCTTGTAATTATTTATATTTATAATAAGTTTACTATTGTAATCTTTTGGAGGAAACAATAAAGAGTATCTATCTATCTATCTATCTATCTTTCTATCTACTTGGACAGCGCATATTTTTAATCTATGACTTATGCAAAATGAGCATGCATTAAACAAAGTGATCTCTCTAAGGGGTAATAAATGAAATGGAAATCAATAATCAATTACCATAATGGCGTATGTCACTTCTACGAAACAATATGGTTGTGATTAATTAAACTCAGTATACTGTTATTGACTATTAGTACATTTTTTTTTAAAAAAAAAAGACAATTTAATTTGTATGTAGTGTTATGGCCAAAACGCTTTTGCTCTTTAATATGACGACTAACATTTTTTAAAACAAAAACCAGTATCCGTAAAACACTTTGATAATTGGGTCAATTCTGTGGTACCATTCTCTGTATCCATACTCTAAAATAAAAATTTTAATTCAATATGTTTTTAAACTAAACTGAGTTAGTTTAGGGGAACTATCGCGTTAAATATCACTAATTGCACTATTGCGAACTAACTACTTTCTAATGTAATGGAATGGTAACTCTGCTCGCGGTATACGCTGGTGAGTTATCAGTGAGGGGTGACAGGTGAAATGAAAGGGCAGGTTAGTTAGCCTCTTGTGGTGAATACATCTGGAATTCAACACGATGGTTTCCAGGGGGACCATGTGGAGGTCGAGCTGATATAGTCGAGCTGGGCATATTGCTAGCAATAGGACCGATAGTCCGCATAACTAACAATCCCTTTCCCCCCTCATTTATGAAGTTCTAAAGTGTTATAAATTTGTCCTACCTTTTTTTTAATTAAATGGATTTTCTTGATGTTAGTCAGTGTATGTTTATTTATAATTTTAAATACCAAAATTGAACCGAATATAGATTATATAATAACTTAAATCTTTTTTTAAAATTTTAATGTGATATACTTCCTGTATAGACATAAATAAACAATAGATATATATTTTTAGTAAGTCCACTAAACATAATATCGATCACCTGTCTGTTAAAAGTTTCACTTTTGTGTGGTAAAACAGTGCATTTTTATTGTGGCCAAATGATGCCATATGCCAATAAAATGTTTTCAAATATAATATTCGATCCTTTAATAATTTACCGCAAGTCCTTTTCTCCTCGGTTGGGAGTCGAAGTCGTTACTCATGACCCTCACTTGAGGCACTCCACCGGTGGAGCTGGACAACACGGCTGGACCACACGGTCGCTGCGGTTGCGGGCTTGACCTTGCTCTGAACAACCACATTTTGGGCATCACATTCAGACCTGAAATAGAAAAACCAATTTCGAATATCATTGACAGGAGTGTTTTTTATTACATTTCTTTTGCAACAAATAGCTACCTAGCTCTTTCTTTTTCCTTCTACTCAAAAGTTGTCTGAAAGTGATAGCGTTATTGATAATACCGCCTTTTGTTCTTTATGAGTGTAATATTTCTTTCTTTAACTGGGGTAAAAAGAGTAAATAATTATAAAACATCGATATCAATACATTATTATCTAAATCTTTAATTGTAATCAATATTATAAATTCATTTTTTGGTCATTATTTATTACTGGATAATCAATTCAATTTGAATTCATACATATATATATATATATATGACTGACTGTCCCATATATATATGACAATATAATGATATATAAGAAAGGTTCAGTTCCACGGCACGTCTCTTAACATCTCTAAAAACATTGGGATCCTTGGTGTCGACATCTCTAGTGATGTACAATTCCGTGGCCACCTCGAAGATAAGGTGAAGCTGGCATCTAAAAAACTCGGTGTGCTCAATAGAGCGAACCATTGCTTCACGCCGGATCAGCGATTAATGCTCTACAAATCGCAAATCCGGCCCCAGATGGAGTATTGCTGTCACTTATGGGCCGGAGCACATAAATACCAGCTTGAATCTTTCGACTCGTTGGAACGACGAGCTATGAGAGTTGTCGATGATCCCAGGCTCACAAGCGGTATCGAACCTTTAAGTCTTAGGAGAGATTTTGCCTCACTCTGCGTGTTCTATTGCCTGTACAATGGACTGTGCTCAGAGGAATTGTTCAATATCACGGCCACTGTCTACCATCGTACGGGTCGCCATCGACAGGTAGTTCATCCTCATGTCCTACAGCCTCAATGGTCGCGTACTGCGCAGTTTCAGAGATGTTTCCTCTCACGAACATTCAGGTTGTGGAATGAGCTCCCTGCCCAGGTTTTCCCAAGAGACTACAGCATGGGGTTTTTCAAAAGGGGGGTAAAGAGGTTTCTTCAGGGCCGGCAACGCACGCGTAATACCTCTGGTATTGCAGGTGTTCATAGGCTACGGTAACCACTTACCATCAGGTGGGCCGTATACTTGTTTGCCACCTAAATGGTATAAAAAAAAACATTACACAGCTGAAACCGCTGATTCTAAAATATTGAAATTTTGCGAATAGATTCATATAAAACGTAGTTCCTACACCTACGAAAGTTCAAATAGAAAGAAATTTAAAAAAAAACCCCAAATGTATTTAGTAGTATAAAATTTCATTAGTTTAGAAGTCTAACTTGTAACAAGTATAATTTTAGAGAACAATAACTCAAATACTACACGCGAGTGAAGTCGCGGGCAAAAGCTAGTATGTTAATACTCGTACATCTTATACTAATTTCATGGCAATAATTGTAAGAGACATTATTATATATGTAAGCATTTTTATATCTAATGAAGGCAATTTATATAACCTAAATCAATTTTTTTGTTTATTACCTAAATGTGTAATGGATAAATTAAAAAATACTTGAAACGTAGAAATTTTATCAAAATCGATCGAGATTTAGTTTTTTTCAATTAACGATACGATTTTATACAACATTATAACCTTAAAAAAAACATTCCTTTTTTAAAAGGCCGGCAGCACAATGCAATGCCGTTAGTGTTGTGGGTGATCGTGGGCGACGGTAGTCACTTACTGGTAGGTGAGCCGCATGCTTGTTTGCCCTCTGTGTTGTAAAAAAATTGATTTTTTTTTATGGAATACAATATTGAATTATCTTCGTAGAACGTCTTTTTTTCCTCTAAGTTCAATTAACATAACAGTTTTGTATTTTCATATCTTTGATATCTCTTCTTTATAACTTCCACAATCAGATCCTGTCAAAACTAGTTACGGCTCACGTACTGATTCCAATCCCGCGGGATTGTGTCCCTATATCGTTCTACAGTTGTTTAAAATGATAATGTAATTTACGGTACGTATACTAACTGCCTGATTTACTTCTGATTTAGTTCATATTGAAATTATACATGTAAACATAAAAATTTTGGTAGTTACACGTTTTTTATTCAAATTCGAGTATATAGCCTAATATATCCTTTATACGACGAGTGTGGTATGTCCCAGTATAGAATAGGCAATCCCTTCCTTTCCCGTGGGTGTAATAAGAGACGACTAAGGATTTTTGAAGTGTGGGATATGGCGTGAATGTACAGGGTACAGAGGAACAACATCTAAGTCCTCAGGAATGGCAACGAATGGGAGGTATCATGGGCGAAACAGTATACTCTGTTATGTCCATGGTATTGCTCATGTCTATAGGCGACGGTTACCACTTTCCATCAGATGGGCCGTCAGCTTGTTTGCCATTCTAAGTTGTATAAAAAAAAACTAAGGAGAACTTAATGATCGAGGGATGGGCAGCAGAATCCCTCTTATAACATCACCAAAGCCTAATTGCGGTTACCAATTCTGCCAAGCGTTGTAACTACTGGAAAACCCTACCTTATAGGGAAGGCCTATGTTCAGCAGTGGACGTTTAACGGATGATATGACGATATAGCCAAATATATGTTTGCAAAAGTTTATATACTTGTGTGTTTGTATATTTACAATTATTTGTTAGTGTATTAAATTTCATTTAACTCATAATTTTTTTTTTTTTTATACAACTTAGAATGGCATACAAGCTGGCGGCCCACCTGATGGAAAGTGGCAACCGTCGCCTATAGACATGAGCAGTACCATGAACATAATAGAGTATACTGTTTCGCCCATGATACCCCCCATGCGTTGCCATTCCTGAGGACTCAGATGTTATTCCTCTGTACACTGTAAATTCACGCCATATCCTACCTTTCAAACCGAACCACAGCCATGCAAACACAACTGCTTCACTGTAGAAACACGAATGGGACAGAGATACCCAAGCAATCGACTTTTGTACAAAGTCTCCCTCTGGTGAGGAGGTGGATTTTTTTCTACATTTATATTACTAGGATGTATATTTAACTAGCTAATATATCTATTTACAATATATGACAGTTGGGGTGGGAGGAAGGGATTGTTAGTAATGCGGAATTACTGCTCCCATTGCTAACAATATACCCTAACAGGTCAACATCCCTGTGATTTCCCCTGGAAATCATCATGCTAAATTCCAAGTTTATTTATCACGATAGGCTCAATGACCTACGTTACGTTACGTTTTCATTCTCATGAATGATTCATGACTTCACCCTTACTGGTGCTCCACCGGGGTATACCGTTAGCGCAGGCCAAGTTACCATTCCATTATCATCCATTAAAAAAAAATAGTTTGCACTGTATTCCTTCATTAGGTTGATAGTAATTAATTGAAATAAAATATTAGTTCCGAACCTTAGCAATGATGTCATTAGTCGTTTGTTGACATAACCTTTAAACTGTTTTTATTGCGTAATCAACATGTTTACTCAACTTCGCCATACAGGAAGGGTGATGTTTTATTAAGTACCTATTAACGAGTGCTTGTAGTGTAAAACATAGTACCTAACACCCATGTGTTGCTGCGCCGTCACGAAGAGGGTAGAGACTTTTTCTATGTACAGTTTAGCTTATCATGATGTATACACCTGGAATTTAGCACGATGGTTTCCAGGGGAAACCACAGAGATGTCGACCTGATAGGGTATATTACTAGCAATTGGACTGATAGTGCGCGTTACTAACAATCCCTGGAAGGGTAGGGATTGTACCCTGTTAGTTCTTCTCCCAAGGAATTAACCACAATAGATATTAGATGGGACACGTCTAAAAATATCATTCCATTATCATCAAAGGAAAAAACACTGTACAAATATTTTTTTTTATGTTGTATATAAGTGCCAATAAAAGCTACTTTATTTCTTTTATTCCCCATAGAGACGTTAAGGGCGATTATTCTAAATCTCATAATGTAGTACACAATGTATTTGATCTATATTTCTTTCTTTTTTTTATTATTTTTTTTTCAGTAGTATTTCGCGGCTCACTTTTGGCCACAACAGAATATCAGTGTTTTGCTCTTTTCAGGGCAAACCAAAAAGCTGAGTTGTGGCCTTTTTGTATTATGGTGGCACACGCATGAAGAAAAAAAAATTGTTACTAATTTTATGCATTCTGATTATGATTTTGTTTTTTTTTTTTGTACATGTATTTTTTTTTTCAATTTTTTCACTTTGCATTTGTGTCTTTTGCTGTTTGTGTGCTGTAAGTGATGCAAATAAATTATCTATCTATCTGTCTATCTAGTACAATGTGTTGTATAGCTGTAAATATTTCGTTTTGATTTAAGCGTGTTTTTTAATAACATAGGGGGCAAACGAGTATGCAACTCACTTGATTATAGGTGATCATCGCCAATCATAGGCACACGCAACATCAAAGAAACTGCAGGTGTGTTGCCAGTCTTTTGGGAAGAAATATGCTACTTTCTTGAAGGTTGTAATGTCGTATCTGTACTGATTTATTGCTACTGGGAATTTTTTTAATGGGTGTTAATGAAATGGTATCCTGCTTACGCTATTGGTATATGCTAGTGGGGCACCAGTGAGGGATGGTAGATAACGATGAAAACAGGTCAGTTAAACCATCGTGATGAATTCATAAAGAATTAATCAAGATTGTTTCTAGAAAGAATCGCGTGGAGGTTGACCTGATGCCCATTAGGTGCCCATTACTAATAATCCCTTTTCCCCTTGCTGCTGAGAGTTTTTTTTTTGGTGGATGAAATAGGAATGATACCCCGCCTGTGCTATCGGTATACGCTGGCCGGGTACCAATGAGAGATGATAGGTGAGCATGAAATCAGGTCAGTTGACCTATCGTGATAGAATTCAACAGGAATTAATCACAATGGATTCCAGGGGAAACTGCGTGGAGGCCGACCTGTTATGGTGTATTGCTAGCAATAGGGCTGTCAGATCCCCATTACTAACAATTCCGTTCCCCCTGCTGCTGGGAGTTGGTTCCATACTTAAGTTGTGCGTAGAGAAAATGCCTATATAGAAACACATGATGGAGGACTGTCACTTATCCAGACGTTTGGAATGAAACTAGCTTGTAGCGGGTTATGATTACATAACACTTGTATAATTACTAATTTACCTATTTTCCCGTGTGAATAAAAATAAGGCGTGTCATATTATCGCTTTGTGTATCAAATTTCATTTATATTCACCTTTCATTTCCGTTTTATCCATTCAGCAATTTCGCAATACTAACGAGTAAACAGGTAAGAATTTAAATGTCAGTAGGATTATCGACCTTAATGAAATGCACTTAAAAAGTATTTAGCAATATTTTGATTACTAGTTATCGAAAAAAAAGACAGATGTTTTATTATTTTTGTTATTTATATTGAGTATTAGTTTTTTTTTTATTTAAGAATAAAAATTTGGTTGTTTCTTTATCGACCCAACTAATTCAGTTAATATTTCCTTTCAGTGTGATAAACCAATATATTGATAGATACGTCATAGCTGCCACGTGCATGAAATGAAGCGAGACAATGAAATCTGGCATCTTGTTCTTTTTCACGCGTATCCAAACGAAAAATTCGTCTGCATCTTTTCTAGACCTGACGGTTTTATTTATACTAATACAAAAAAATGGAAGAGTTGGTTTGTTTACTTGATCGCATTTCTTATTGCACTTGATAGCTTATTTCTTGAGAAAGGTTATTATAGGATATTCAATATCACGATACAGTAACGAACGAAGCTGCGGTATACAGCTAGTTTTTTTTTTTATAAAAATGAACGTGATTAGTAAATAAAAATTTCCGATTGGTAAATGTCAATGTCACCTCAAAGTTTACCAAGAGCCACACCCCTAACTCCATTACCTGACGAAGCCCCAGTGATCGTCAGATAGAACGTACTAGATACGGAGTACCCACTATCAAATTATATAAATTGATAACACACCCGCCAGCAATTGCTTTTGATAAGTAATTGCAAAAATTGTTTTTAATAGACACGTGTTAATTGAATTTTTT